CTGTTGGGTCACCTTTCTTTGGGATAGGAATAAATATAGATCTCTTCTAGTCAGTTGGCCAAGTGGTTGTTCTCCAGATTTCTTGGCACAATTGGTGAGCACATCCAGGGCAGCATCTGTTATCTGAAATACTTCAGTTGTTATACCATCTATTCCTGGGGCCTTATTTTTTGCCATTTCCTTGAAAGCAGCCTGAACTTCTTTTTTCATCACCATAGGCTCTTGCTCAAATGTCGTTTCATGAAATTCTTCTGTGTCTTCCAATTCCTTTCTATACAGTGACTCAGTATATTCTTTCCGTCTTCTTTTAATACTTCCTGGGTAACTTCCTAGATAACAGAAAAGGCAAAGGAGGGGTTCAGTGTAGTTAGCTTTAATAATTCCAAAGATCACTGTCCTACTCATATGACCTTAACCTTGATCATCCTTGACTTTTTTCAATTATTAATTTTAATTAAAATTTACAGAGACTTTGGATTTCCATTCATTCATTGTTGCAGTACTTTTTCCTGAATAATATGAAGAGAATTGTTTAAGGCTAATGAGGGGAGCAGCACTTAATCTGAGAGGCAAATCCAGGTGTTTTTTAGGGCCCAGGTAGACCCATTGTTGTAGAGTTGATCCTCATTCATGGTGACCCTGAAGGATAGAGTAGAACTGTCCCATGGGGTTTCCAAAGCTGTAATATTTACAGAAGGAGAATGCCACATCTTTATTCCTCAGAGCAGCTGACCGATTCAAACGTCTGACCTGTCAGTAGTCAAGCACTGTTTGCATACTAAACTTTAAAGACTATTCTTTATGGCATTAAGGAGATAGACTCTCCGTTTTCCCTTTGAAGCACTGTGGTCTAGGCTTATTTCCCTATGTTTAGTGGAGACCTGGCATAGTAGATCCTGTAAGCAGTCAGCTCGTTTCCTCTTTCCCTAGCAACTATCTGTGCATCCACGGGAGCTCCAGTGTTGCACTGCTAAGCAATACCCATCTCTAGTAGTTTGGATCCATCAGCAACTCTGAGGAAGAGAGCTGGACAGTCTCCTCCCATCAAGATTTAAGGCTCAGAAACCTGGCGCAGAGTTGCTATGAGTTGCAACTGATTCCATGGCATTGAGTGTGATCTGTGCATTAACCCCATGCCACGAGCCACCCAAGACTGTGAGCTAATGATGTATGACTACTCCATTCCCTGAAGAACTAGCCTGGGCTGAATGGAAGCTGAACAGGCCATGAGGTTGTCCTGCCCCCACCCCCACTTCCTCACCTCAGGGACAGATTGACTCTGTGGTGCAGTTTGTACTCCAGAACTTCCCCAGAGATTTGACGGTGATCTGGAGCTGAGATAGAGCCAGCTTGGTTTTGTTCCCTTGTCCTGGCCTGTCCTCCTCACACTCTTTTATTCTAAAATATCCCTTCAGTCATAAGAATCTGTCTCAGACACTGCTTCCAGAGAATATAACCCAAGACTGATAGGTTCAGAGCATAGTGCTGCATAGGTATGAAAGCAGTGCATGTACAGGGTACATAGGACCAGGGGAGCACCAGCTGGTCCCAAGGGAGCCAATTCTCAGCATATGCTGGGTGTTAGTATGTGGAATTCCTTGCCTAGGGTTGCCAGAATCTTCTCACTTGTCAAGAAAAACTAGAAATTCAGATTTTTATGTGAAACATTTCAATTTTTTAAATGCTGACAATAGATTCAATTAAAAAAATGTATGTTGTAGACAAATGAAATGCCCTCATACCCCAAGCCAAAACAACATCTGTATGACATCACAGTTTACAATTTTTAAATAAACTCTGTGGAGTCTGCCTAGGACTAGACCTGGTGTGGCTATGTCTGGAGCTGGGAAGATTGTCCAAGAAGGTCTCCTTCCACTCTAGAGGACAGCTAGTCCTATAGAGTGATGGTATAAGTGATGATCTACACCCACGGCCGTCAGATTGATTCTGACTCATGGAGGCTCTCTAGCAAGTTTCTGAGGTTGTAAATCATTATAGGTGGAGACTGTCTGTTTTTCTCCCATGGAAAATCTAGGGAGTTTGAACGTTTCTATTAGTAACAAAATACCTAACCTGTATGGTGCTTTCTCAAAAAGTTGCAAATAGAAATACCATTTGACCCAGCAATTCCTCTACTGGGAATATACCCTGAAGAAACTATAGCTGTCACCCAGACAGATATATGCACACCCATGTTTATTGCGGCTTTGTTCACAATAGCAAAGAGCTGGAAACAACTTAAGAGCCCATCAACAAATGAATGGATAGAGAAGCTATGGCATGTATATTCACACAATGGAATACTACGCTGCATTGAAAAACAAGGAACTCATGAAATATTATTCAAAATGGGTGACCCTGGAGGACATTATGCTGAGTGACATACCTCAGTCACAAAAGGACAAATACTGCATGGTGCCACTGTTGTAGAATGGGACTGACATCAGACTTGGGGTGAGACTGAGAAAAATTAGGTAAACTATGTATAATGCATTGAAACAGATGAGGGAGAGAACAGTTTAAAAGCAATATATGATTGGGTATTATGGTCATGACAAGAGTTCAGAATGAAGGCTTCATAGTGGAGTATACTCAGAGGTGAGGTGGGGATTTTATAACCAATGAAAGAATTTTTCTTTTAGTTTTCAAAGAGAAGAGCCAACTTGGGGGGAGGGTAGATGGGTAGTGACAAAAATGCAACAATAAATGAGTGGAAATCCCAACTCTGTGAACTTTCATTAAAATTAATAAAATAAATAGATGGATAAAAATGGTGACTGAAGATGAGCCAGCATTTCAAAACAAAGTCACTACATTATGGGGATTAATTATTGTTATATTCTGTTGAATTGGAACCAATCCATAACTGACCCTCCAGTGGGTTTTCAGAGGCAGTTAATCGCACAGGAGGAGATTGCCCATCTTTCTCCTGTGGAGCAGCTGGTAGACTGAAACCACAAATGGAGATTAATTAGTGATTGTAAATTTAAAAAGTTTTATTTTGTGCTCATCTAAATTATAGCTTGGGTGGCAACTAAATTCTAGACACAAAATCCTGACTCTTTGGAAGCATGTAGAATATGCTCTTTATTTTTTTTCGTTCATAAATTTTATCAGACTATATTTATATGTTTAAAAACATTTTTTGTTTCTTTTTCTCTCTTGTATATCCTCCCATATCTGAAGATTGAAGATTTGTCTGTTTTTAGTTCAGGAAGTCATCTTCTATTATTTCCTTTCATTAGCTGTTTTCTTTCCTGTTTGGATAGCTATAAAATAGAGTATTGTTGAGAAAATTATTGGGTGTAAGTAACAGAAGATTTGATGAACAATATCTTAAATAAGGAGTTTATATACAACCTCGCTTGCTGAAAATGAGGAGTACCTGAAATACTTGCTACTTAAGGTCAACAACTATAGTCTTCAATATGAATTGATGCTCAACATCAAGAAGATTAAGATTCTCATCACTGGGGCAATTGGCAGCACCGTGATAAATGGAGAAGAGATTCAGGTTGTTAACAATTACAGCTTACTTGGCTCCACAATAAACACTGTTAGCACCAGCAGTCAGGAAATCAAGAGATTAATGGCACTGGGAAAATCTACACTCAGGGACCTCTTCAGAGTTCTGAAGAGCAATGATATCAGTCTAGAGACCATGGTGCACCTGATTTATGTAATGGTCTTCAGAATTACTTGCTACATCAGAGAACTAAACAATTACTTGAATGACAGAAGAAGAATTAATGCCTTTGAGTTATGGTGCTAGAGAAGAGTATGAACGTACTATAGACTACCAAGAGAACAAGTAGGTTTGACTTAGAAAGATTGAAACCAAGGTTCTTTCTCCTTTGAGGCTAGGATTTTGAAGCTCCATCTCACATAATTTGGACACATGGTCAGGAGAGACCAGTCCTTGGAGAAGGACATCATACTCAAAAGGGTGGGCAAACTGCACAGGAGAGGAATACCCCGAATGAGACATATTGATATAGTAACTGGAGTAATGGGCATAGGTGTGTCAGAGTTAGTGAGACTGGCTCAGGATAGGGCGGGGTTCAGAGCTATTGTACATGGGGTCACTATGAGTTGTACGCAGCTTGATGGCACATAACAACAACAACAACAACAACAACA